ATACTTTCCAGCTACTGGTTTTGTGGAATTTAGAAATTGCAATCACAAAATACTCATATATACATGCATACATATACACCAGCATTGTTGAAAAACACATAAGTAAAATGTGTTCAAAGTGCACTAAAAAATTTCCACGCAGACTGAACTTCTCTCCCTTGAGTGCATGACCAATATGCTATGCAGGCCAAGAGCCAGACCAGAGAGCCCTCCACAACAGGATTCATATATGACAATGCGTTAACCAATTTGCATGTTGCTAAATACGTGCACACCAACTGTTCCTTGTTTTTTTGGAGGACCCATGGTGCACTGAGCAGTGCAGAAGGGGAAATCGTCTGCTTTAGTAGAACTAACAAGCACTTTCACAACACGTGACATGACTTAAACCCCTCCAGAACAAAAGTCACAGCAGTCAGGTGCTAAACACAAAAGCACAGCTAAACCCTGTCCTGCTCCTACAGATTCAGCAAAACAAAACAAATCACTCCTGTTTTGTGCCACACCATGCTGCTTAGCATATTTAATAATGTTATAAGCATATTTAATAGTGTTAATTAATGTGTCATATTCAAACACAGTTGTCTTCCTGGCCTGCATGGGGACAAGCTCATTCTTCCTATCAAACCTTTAGCACCACAAAACAAAACCCCCAAATATATTCACTGACTCAGAAAATAAGTAATGGAGATAAAAAGAAGTATGATAATATCTTTCAAACTATTTACCATATGCACCGACCAGATGTAGGAAGGCTCAACTTCATTGACATAGCCAGACTCACAGAAGCCATAAAGTAGCTTTCATCCTTCACAAAGGATGTCAGCCTTGAGGTTTCCAAACAAGCACATCCGTCTGCCCATTCTGTGCAGTGGTAAAGCAGGTCTCTCATGCTCTGTGGCTACTCTCCTTTGGGGTGGTGAGCCCATACTACTTTCTGTGTACATTCAGTAGTTTCTCATCCCCTCCTTTGCCCTCCAAGTTCAAATAAAGATATATTTTTATATTTATGGAAACCCCTTATCCCTTAGAGAGGAATGGAGATAGGCATCTTCCCTTCTCTCCCCTCAATGTCCAGACTCATCAACAGGTTGTTCCAGTGCTACTTTCTGTTCCAGTGTGATCTGACAGTTTAACCCATAAGTTGGTAAGTTTGCAGTGGTTAGTTCTGCTAGCAGGGATAGCAAAGAATTGACATTTTCCCAATTAATTTTCATGTTCCTAATTATGACTCAGTGCAGCCAGCTTTGACCTGCTGTGTATTAATAAGCATTTAAGTCTGCATCCCTATTATGTGAGTGTGGACCCACTCACATAATGCAAGTATGTTCTCTTCATCAGTTGAAGACCAACTGCTGGCCAAGACAACCCAAAGTCTTTTTAGACAGAAGGGTATTTAGCTCTTTGTATTTCATGTTGAAACACCTCATTACGGTCACATAGAAACTACTTCTCAGCACTGCCACCCTCTCTTCCAATTACTCAATTCAAGCAGTAGTTGCAGTTTTCCCTTTGTTTTTGTCATGGCACTATCTTACAGAGAAAACTGCAACTATTGCTTGAATCTCATGAGCAGATGGAAAGCAAATTTTAATTTCTGTATTAATTCAGTTCAAGCACTGCCCAACTGAATAGCCTGTGTTTCATGGGACTGTAGGAACCAATAACGCTATTCATTTGAGGACTTCTGGAAAGCTTTTACTTTTGCAGTCAAAGTGGAAAGGCTTCAGAAAGTAAAGAAAAAAGCTGTCATGGGATAAAAAAATACCTACACTGAAGCAAGGTTTTCAGTTTTCCTGGAAACAGTCAAACCTGTTTGTGCAAGGGTATGTAAAGGGAGAGAGTCTGTGCTCCCTTACAGATATCTCATTAGGGACCTTTCCAATACCAAAGGGCATAACAAATAAACGGGGAGCCACAAACACAGCACAGAGAGACACAAACAGATGAACTAACAAAGGCAAAGGCAAGAAACAAACCTAAATGATGGGTTATTAAAAAACCAAAGGCAAACTGGAAAAGCTGCAACTGATGAGGATGCAAACCTGAGGGTCCAGGGTGTCCAAGGCGATTGGTGTACCTGTGTGGACATGTGAAGGATTACCGGGAGTGGGGATGGGGAGGTAGTGGACAGTGGTAGACAGCAAGGGCTACAAAGGGGACTTGTTACTCATAAAACACAGCCAGACAGCACCTTGTAAAGACAGGAGTTATGCACAAAGAGATTCATCTTCCCCTTTTCCTAAGAAAAAGCCATATTGTCCTTCAATAGTGAAGACACCTCAATGAGGAAAGAAATGAAGATCAACAGATTATCAGTGGCTACTAAATTTTCATGGCTTCACAAGCTTGTTTGAAGCGTTGAAAACTCTCACTGGCTTAAGGCAGTCAAGTACCATAAGCTAAAGATGCATACCCAGACATGCTAACCTGGCGTGATACTACAGAACTTGGTTACCTTTTAGTTTTTCTTTGTTTCATGCCTGTATGTGTTAAAAGCTTTTAGTTTTAGAGTGGATAATTATAATGTCCAGACTGATCTTTCTCTTCCTATCTTCTGTTTGACTACACTTGGTAATCACTAGCTGCCATGGAAACCACTAAGTGCAACTCCTATTATGTAACTTTTCCCAATCAGACAGAGGTGTCAGGCAGATTAATACCTCTGTTTAAACAAGCAACCTTATATGGTGAAAGAAAGCAAGACCTTTAAAATTTCACAGGTTCCACAGCTAAAAATCTTTGGTATCCTCATCTTTTGAGCTATAAGAAAACAGCAAAGCATACCTCAGCATAACAACAAAAAAAAAAAAAATTAAACTGGAGGGTTTGCCAGAGTTGAGGACATATTCAAGATTTAAAAAAAAAAAAAACAAATGCTGTCTCACACTAAATAGAAAATTTCCCACTTCCCTTGTGAACACTCCAGAATCTGAAAAACACTTGTCCTTTGTATTGGTTTTGCATGGCCTGCTTTTTGGCAGCGGGGGCGGGGCACAAAGATGGCTCCCATGAGAAGCTGCTGGAAGCTTCCACCATGTCCACTCTCTGCTGCCCAGCTGTAGCAGGAGAGCATGAGCAAGCCACTCACGTGAGTGCCTGGCGTTGAGCCAGTGTCAAATCATGACACCCTCCAAAGGCTGCCACCTTCCCCCAGGAACTGGTTTCCTAGCTTGTCAGACATAGCTCATTCAAGTAACAGCAAGACTCAGACAAAAACAAAAAAACCTGCTTCTGTTGTGCTTTTTTCCATTCTGTGCCCCAAAACTTACCCACTCTCCACTGATACTTCTTGACATAACAATTCCACTTCTTTTCTTTTTTTACCTCTTTACCAGACACTGCAAAAAAGTAGTTCTCTAAGTGCTTCAAATGTTTGGTTACAAAGGAAGTGGTGAATCCATGGTTTTACTTCAGAGGTGCAGAAGCCCAAACAGACTACAGAGTTAACAGCCATCTATTCCACACTTCTGGAAAAGCAGATACCACCTTCTGGTATCCAGCAAAGGAGTTCTAAAGGGATATTAGTAGCTCAGGAAGATTTAGACTTACTGGAACTAGAAAACAGTAGAAGGCTTGAAGCCCTGTGTCAGAAAACAACTAAATATTACAAAGTGCAAGCAGAAGAGAATGACCATGAAGACGTATTTTTAACTTCTTTCCCTGTATATCTGAACAAGATACCAAGATGACAAGACAATCCTAAAAATCCTTAAGTAAATTTGAGAAACACTGGATCTGCAGTTCCAGTCACACTTCACAATATACATGAAATACAAAAACCTCTAAGTTTAAAGAGCTTTTTCATATGCCATTACATTGAAATATCCCAGTGTCATTGCTTAATGAAATAAAAACCCAATCCCAACCACATGTTCTGATAGTTCAACATTCTTTTATATTAATATTTAGTCATGAAATACATTATTTAAATGAACCTTGGAATTATTTGGATTACAGCTGGAATGAAAGCTCTTTATAGAGCTACTGATTGCCCTGAAATACAAGCACTAGAAGCAAATTTACTGCAGCATTCACTCAAGTCTATAAAAGACATCTAAAGATCTAAGTCCATTTTGCAAAAAAATTAACAAGTTTTCATAAATGAAATGATATACATGTATATATATATGTATAAATAATGAAATAATATATACACACATATATATGTGTGTGTGTATATATATATATACACACATATATATACATGAAGTAAAATACTATTTGAAGAAGATCAACACTATAGATCCAGCTACTAATGTATGTGCATAATTATAAAGTTTACAAAAATAATAAGCATACCTCAAATATCTTTTCATCCAGTTCAGATCATGGGGCAGATGAGGGACAGCTGCTCTTCAGGTAGTCTTATAAAATTCATACAGCAGAATTTATGTTCTAAAGGCAGTCAACTGGAATCAAAGTACCATGTATAGTAGTACTTCTACATTACATCTACCTTTAGTATGAATCAAAGAAGGTATATTTTCTTAACACAAGAGGTCAATTACCTGCTTTTAATATCTGTGAAATTATTTCCCTTCAATTGTAACAGCACAGAAATTGTATGGAACCTAGAAAGACTGACACAAGTTCTTCTGGTTGCTTCCAGATTTTAAAAAAGGCAAGCACATCACAGAACATCATGCTGAAATTTTAAAAAGTTGGAGAAACATAAGCAGCAACCAGCTGTGCAAGTTCTACAACTCTATCAGCTGTGTATTGCCAGAAAGAAGTATCTTATAAAGAACTAACTCCTGTTCATCTCTCTCCTTTTATTAAACAAAGACCTAGGAAAGCTTCTGAAAAAGGCCTAAGTCTCAATGTTTAAAAGAACCAAAAGTAAGTCTGCTATCATCACTTAATTCACAAGAGAAGATAAAGCTCCTGTCAAAGGAAGTGTATCACTAGAGATCAGCAGTGATTACAAGGGGTGTCTGTTGCACAATGAATGAAAATGGAGTTCAGTATTGTCACAAAACAAAGATCTTTTAGGAGATGAAAAGTTTATTTATAAACTGCCAACATTTAACAAAAACAATATTACACTATTTTCCATTTTCTACAGAAATATAATAGCTTACAGCGGTGCTTAGTCCATTTCATCACTAACACATATAAAAACAAGTCTGCTGATAAATAAGTGAAAAAATCTGTTTACCAACCACCACCACCAAAATTGTACCTGTAAATTTTGGAAGCCATCTGCATAGAATAGTTAGAACTGTAAGGGTGCTCTTTTTTATTTTGTAAGTCATTTTGTACTACTAGGGTATGCAAAAATTTAAATAACATGCAATACAAAATACTTGAGATAAACAAGGTAAAACTCAGTGTGCACAACTGGAAAATAGTGCTAAGATGCCCTTCTATGTTTCTAACTAGACATCAGGAAAATGCATGTTTTATATGGTGGATTTTCAAATACCCTTCACAGCAAAACCAGTTTATAACAATGAAAATCTATACTTGGCCAGGCTCCACTGAAGGAGGACTAAAGTCATGGTGGAAGTTACCTAGTACTAGATAACAACAAATAATTGTAGAACATCTCAAATCAACATTATGCAGATGCATTTTACAAAGCATATTAGCTATTAGCTAGTGATAAGCATTTGCGGAGATGGAAGGGTGACAAATGTGCAATTTATTGTTGACCATAAATGCAGACAGCACGCCTGGAGAACAGCAAGACTCAGGCCATCCACTGTTCATTAAGACATTCCTGTTCAACATTGCATCAGTTATCACGTAGCACTTAAAAGCTCACCAGTCATCCCTAAATATCTTGCACAAACCTCAGCACTGGTATCTATTTGCTATTGATATGCAATACTTCCAAAACTAAACTGTTATCCTGGTTTGCACACAGGCATATTGTATGAAACTTTTTGCCACTAGCAAAGATGAAAAATCATGAAGGCAGGGGAGAGCATGGGGAGTTTTGAGCTGGGGCAGGAGGTGGAGGAAACTGGGAGAGAGAAGGAAAGGAGAGAATAGAGGGGAAGAAAAAAACAGAGGGGAAAAGGAAGCTTCCTTAGCTACTGATACCCTGTAGTACCCTACTAGTATTTCTCTAGCTGCCCTGTTAAACCACTAACATTCCATAACCACAAGGGTTCCTTTTCCACAGTGCTAATGAGTATATACTACAAACTTTTTTTTTTTTTTAAATTGAAGCCATAAATACAACTATTTGTGAAAGACAAACAAGTCCCTTACAATTCATCACACTAAACATGCCATGGCTATCAGGTAGAGGCTGGTACTCTCTCCACAGCATGGCCTGTTCTGAAATCAATGAAGTTGGTGGGAATTTCAAAACTCATTTCAATAGATGTAAAAATAAAGCATTCAGATCAAAAACAAATAACTAGATCCTGTAAATTACTTCTATACAAGAACTCTGGTGTGTTTATTACTTACTCCCTTCTGAAATAATGAACACCCAAATTAAGTAAACCAAGATTACTCATACTTACTCTTTCTATCTAGCAGCACAGTAAGAAGAAGAAAAAAAGAAAAAAAAAAAAGGAAACTAAGTATACAAGAGAAGCTTTTTTAAGCTTTGCATTTAGGATGATAAACAATACTTTCAGTAATGCCCTGTGATTTCAGGTGCTCATTTCAGGACACTTAGAATGAATCACATTGTCTAAGAGGAAACAGGAAAGGTGCTAGCATTTTCCAGTAAAACTGCTTCATTTAAGGAAAGCTCTCAAATCAAATAATTCAAAACCAGAAGACACTCAAAATTAAGAGCAATTCCGAGAATATTTTATGTGATTTATTTTAACAAAATGAGAAAAATACTGAAAACAAAGTACCAAAAATACTACTTATTCGTTTTTAAACACCAATTTAAGTCACTAGTTATACTTTTCTCAAGTCTCCTATGATGCTAAAGCACTCATGCAAAACTTGCCTGTGTGTTTCCTTTCTTGAGAACTGGTGAAAAGTATCCCCTGAGTATTTACTGAGCACCCCCAAATTTTCCCAACTTGCAAGGCCTGACAAACTCTTTCACAGTCTCAAAATACTCTCTACAAGCACTTGGAATAACACCACCACTAATGATTTGGTTGGTGTGTGCAGGCATTTGCCCAGTACAACGACAATCAGGCAGATTAAGACAGAGAGGGGAAGCAATAGATCTCACTGCTTTCAGCAGACAACCTGGCACTGACCCTGCTAAACTCAGACTCAGGACAGGTCATCCATGGAGGGGTCTGTCAGCAGGTAGCCAAATGTGGATGATTTTTGCAGTGTTCACAGGACATAAACACAGTTCCGCCATCCATCCATTCACACATACATGCACACTTATTGTGGGAGAATAAATATAGATAATTTATTCACAGATAAATTCTCTACTGATTACCCAAAAAGAAAAAAAAAAAAGACAATAATCCCCATCTGACAGGAATTCATCCTATGACAAAGTAATACCAGTGAAAAACAAACAATTCTTTACATTCACTGTCCTGTAGAACACTGGTCATTTAGCAGATTACTTTTCAGTGTCTTACTGTCCTGTCATAATTTTACTCTTTCTGCTACAAAATTTATGATTTATCTAATTCATCTTGAAAATCTACATAAAATTTACAATGGTCACAGCTGAGTATCTGAGAAATTTTCATAGAAAAAATACTGCAAAATATTATGTTCAAAACTAGTTGTATATCCCCCTAATTAGAAAGCTATGAGAATTAAATATTTTTGCAGAAATCTTGATAAAATAAACATTTCCCTACAGAGAATAGTACTTTGATGAACACAATGATGTTACAAAATTAGAGTTTATTGGCTCACTTGAACACTGTAGTGCTGTCACTACCTTGGATCTTAATGCTACTTCAAAACATTTAAGACATCTATTATTTTGATTATATGAAAGTAATAAAATTATATGAAGTGTGTTCCCAAGTACTGAAGTATTTCAGTTTTAAATGTAGCTACTTCAAAAAAGAAAAATTGATACAAAAGGGAATGAATACAGTAGGTACATTTTACTTTCTGAAAACAAATTCTGGTACCTCTTATCATTTATGTGATTTTTTTTTAACAGCAGATGAAAAAAACACATTCCTTTTACGTACTCATTACATGCAGCCATTCAGCAAATCTTACCATATTAATGATGTACCAATTTAATAACTTTATTCACAATGAACAGGTGTACCTCATCCAAGAAAAGCTCTTTGTTTAACCATAATTATATTCCATTCAGAAAATGTCTCATGAAGAAAACATGCACCTCACTGTGGGTTCTCCCCACATCTGTCTATACAGTAGGATGTACAGCAGGTTCCAGATGGTGCAGATAAAGATATTTAACAAAGCAGACTTCACTTAAGAATTCTGTTTTCCAGAATAACTCTGTTGCATGTAAGAGTTTGACAGCTATCAAAATCGATTTAGAATCCTAACAAAAGGTTTTCAAATACTGAATCTAAGACCTATGGTGCATCAACACAGATGCTGTAAAAAGCTTCCCCATCATTACCACATACTTTGAGATACTAACTACTTTACTGAATACTACTAGGAAGCTCAGAGAATACATCCAACACTGTCAGGAGCTTCTTGCAAGACTGCAACAGCAATTCAACAGAATAACAGTATGAAGCAGATGAGATGGTAAGGTCTACTGTGCATTACTGGGTTGGCATGTGGGTAGATTATAAAATACTATGCTAGACAAAAAAATAGTAATTAAAAGCCAGTTAAATGTTTAGCACTTTTTCCTTTAAAATCAATAATTATAAACTGTAAAAATGCATCCTAATTCACTATAATAGACTATGCCCTGAGAAGTAACATTACACACTAAGCAAAAGCCACTAGGAAGTGTCAGACCTGCAGTTCAAAAGCATAATATATGGAATTCCCTGGAAGCATATTTCCTCCATTTTTCAGCAACAGAGTTGCTTCTTCAGAGGAAAAGACAAATGAAAATTTATGCTAATTCTAGTTTTTCCAACTTTAACTACAGTATTTTTTTCTGTTCTCCTTCAAACTGTCCCAGGAAAACTTGACAGATTCATTGACAAAGCTCTTGTTTTTCACATCTGAAAGAGAATATAGGCCTAGCATGAGGTTCTGAAATAACTGAGCCTGATGAACTCCACTAATGGTCATCAGTCAAAGTACTTTTTGGGAGGTAGTCAGAGTTACTCAAACACAAAATTAGGCCACCTCAGCAATGCTTTGCTACATTTTTCTTTGCTGGTTGGAAGAACAAAGAAGAGGCTGAAAAGAAACATACCTCTGAGTACACAAGGAAATAAATCATAGACAGGGACACTGAACATCCTTCGAAACTAACTTGAATGTGAAGTGCATTTGAGAATTGGTGAGTTACACCCTATTTTTTGTATCTGACACTAATAAAACAGTAAGATCTAATTACACATATCTCTTTATCACGCAATGAGTGCAAAGAAGCATTTGAAGTGACACCTACGTTTCAGTGTCAGTTCATTGCTTTTTCCAAAATTGCTCTACGAGATACAATTCAGCAGTTATGAGTTTTTCTCCCCATCCCCATATTTTAAGTGCAATGGTTCACCTCCTACTAGATTTAAAAAAAAAAAAAAACAAACCAAAAAGCACTCTTCCATTACAGAAGGCAAAACAAAACTAAGCAAACAACAACTTGTCCAAAAATTTAATCATCAAATCTCTAAAGACTCACAACCTAAATTATTCTCTGTTACTCACATTTTACTCAGTGTATTTTATGTTCTTGAAAAAAGTATGCTTTTTGAGTCTGGTTATGCAGACAAACCTTTCCAAAACCCTTTCTTTCTGTTCATCAATATTACACAGTACTGTTTTAAAAATTCATTAACTATCTACTTAGGAAAAAAAATCATTCCCATCCATAAAGTCTAGCTACACATTCTAATTAAGCAGCACTAGAATAAAACTAGAAATGCCAGAAATTTTCATTTTAAGACAAAAATCTAAGGTTTCTCACTATATTATCACTTTGCTTATTTGTCTTAAAGCATATTACATACAAGGTAATTAATCAAATAGCATAAACTGACAAGTTGCTTTATCCCCTATTTAAATGACACATGGATTTTGTCGTATAAAGAATATGTAAGCAGTCAATAAAACACAAATATGCAGACATGAGTACATTAAGAATATTAATCAGAGCTGTAACAATGCATTCCAATGACTTCATACAAGTTCGTTATTGTAGCTGTCTTTAAAGCTGCATGTTTCTCCAGTGACTGTAACACACAAGACAAACAAAATGCCAGTGAAATAACAGTTACTGTATTTAGCAGCTGAGAATTTACCACTTTAAAATGTGGTTCCTTCTATTCCAAATTCTGTAGTTTCAAATTACATTTGTTCCTCGAAACCCTTTGTTTCCAGTACAAACAAATTTCCACAAAGACTAATCCAGTGAACAGAAAGAATCAATTCAAATGACATATACTACAGCAGAAGACAAAATTAGGAAAGATGCTGAACTTTACATTAAGATGTACAAAGATGTACAAAGTTTGATTTTATATTTGAAGAAACTTCAGACAGTGAGAGCTTTGAATTCTGCAGCTTGTGCTGGACGTTTTCTCTGCAGGAATGCTCACTGACTAAATTATTAGTCTCTGATCTCTGAAACACAAAACAGCTGAAATGCCTTATGTAAAGTAGCCGTGCTCAATACATTAACTACCAATGGCCTAAAGCCACTTTCTATTTTTCAAGCAGTTTTCAAACAGGACTCTGCAGTAACAGCAAGTGGTTGACAGGTATGCTGTAAAGATCATAGTTCCAGAACATCACATGAGTTTTGAGCTTAATGCAGTACGTTAGAAGTACCTCTTCAATAGTTTCATGCATGAGGCTTCAGGACATTGACAGTTCGAAGCAATTTCGATACGATTTTCCTTAATATAATTTATATTTTACTGTTAAATTATAATTTATATGTTATTATTATAATTTATATGTTACTGTTAAAAAATTAAAGCTCAAATTTAACAACTTGCTTTTTGCATTTCCTTCAAACAGAAAGGTATGACTTGTTTCAATTTCACTATTTAGTTTTCAGGTCTGCAAACATTTCTAAATGGAATTATTCTAACTGGATTTAAAAAATAGAGTGCAGGGGAATATTTCCTTGAAGTGCAGACTTTAAAAACCCACACTCATGAGTTAACTACAGCCATCAGTGTTTTACAAAAGCAGTAAGAATATCAGCATCATCTCTAATCAGAGTTCTCAGAACATTTTCAAGTACTAAAATTCAATACAACTCTCTTCAGTTACACAGGACCAAATCTTGTCATCCTACAAGAATACATCACTTGTGCTGACATGAATAGGAACTATACACATGTATATGAGGGCACCTGCTTAAATGTTTATGATGTCAAGTTCAAAAGAACAGAATTTCCACAGTACAGCTCGGAGAATGGTAAGACTCCAGATTATAGTCTGGAAGAACTATATAATGAGTTTCAAGTCAGATTCTAATACTAGTATTTTCTTCTGAAAGCCACAGTCTTTCCAGTGCAAGAAGAGATAATCTCTACCTTTCCACAGTTCAGGAAATGTTTCTTATCATGCTCCCACTTCTGAGATTGCTCCTATCACTACTACTTTTCTCATAAACTTGTAAATGTTGCCAAGGTAAACAGAACACACAAATACATTACGAAGTAATCAAGACCAAGAACCTATCTTTAATACACTGCCCCCTTGACTTCACACTTTCCAGGTTCATACGAGTAATTAATGGGATACTGTTAATCAAGCTGACCCTGGCTACTACACATAATTTAACATATCATCCACCTTCACTAAATATCAGGTCTCCTGGGATGTGTAAAAGCTCTTGCTCAAGTTAAGTTCTTAAGTTCAGACTCCTCTTTGTACTTGAACCTACCCATTTGTCAGTGATCACTGAGGCAACACTTTATGACAAAACTGGGCTCCCAAGCCAATACCACACTTCCTTCAGACAACAACTATGTTTTCTGCAACTAAAACCATCAAGCAAACCACCACAGCATCCCATAGCACCTCAAAGCTAACGTATGTAATACATGCATACCTATGGAGAGGCAGGTGTGCATGCCCACTGAAACAAAGCTTTGACATGGAGATGCTCAAGCCTGGATCAGTCTTATTTATGTACTGTAAACAGTATAGTGTGCATTTAGAAATGTAAATTTTAGCTACTTTTGTGCCTGAAATGAATCATGAACATACTCTCAAAGACTGGAGGTGGTCTGTTTTCATTTTGAAATGCAAGAGTAAACTCCATTCATCAAACTATATAGAAGTGCAGGAACTTCATATTTTGAGTGCTTTTTTGATTCAAAGTGACATCTTTTGAGCAGGCTACCTGTGCTTTTTCCTCCCTCATTGTTTCTCTCTCTGCCCAACAAAAACAGCATCTTGAAACTTATGGTCAAGAGGCATATGGGGCAGAAGACAAATAAAGCAATTATGGCAAGGACACTAACTTGAAAATCTAATCCCCCCAGAGAATAGTCTGCTTTTAAAAGAGGCAATGTTGCCATTGTATGGACTTCTACAGTTGTAGAATGTTTTCCCTGGGTCTGTGTACCAGCACAATTCTACTAGTGTAAAAAATCCCTTTTACAGACAAATTCTAAGGAAATGACAAAATACACCATTCATAATTGATTTCAAATTCCCTTAAAATTTACAGTCATGTAAACAGAGATGTATGGTTGGAGTAGAGCTCTTCTTCAAGAGTAAAAAATAGAAAACCAAACCAACAAAACCAAAACAACAAAGACTGAAGATCTTCAAAAAAACAGAAGGGAAGGGTTAGTTCCCTCCTTGCTGTCACTGGTTTTTATAACTGTATAGTCTCAATCATCAGTTGGAAGAGCTACTTTTTACTCCATCCAATATTGTACTTGTAGAGTCTTGATTAAGCACAAGTTATCAATGTGTGATTTGGCAGGGTGAGAATCTGTAGTGTAAAAAAGACATTCAGAAATGTGTATCAAATGTGATTAAATCTGGATTGTTGAGATAAAATAAATAAATAAACACCACGCAAGAAATGAAGGTAGTCTTGTTTTAAGAAAACGATTCACAAATACAGCCAAATACAGCTATGGCTGTAGGTGAACATGTGTTTGAACTATTTTCTGCCACATTTTCCTGTATCTGCTTATCAAGATTTCAACCTTACAGACCTTCCTATCAAGCTAACATGACAATTTAAAAGCAAACAAAAACCGAGTTAAAACAGTAAAAGGCATCACAGCTCCAAAACTTACTGAAGCCTTCAGAAAGAAACATTGTATTCTGGTGTTCTACCAAAGACTGCTACACAAAAATAATAGCACTCATCAAATATAGTCTGGATCCCGTAAGGTATTAGCCATACAGGAACAAACTGGGAACAGGTTTAGCTGATACTGACAGATTCTCCCATTTTCTCAGACACTCTGTTTCACAAGCATTTCAATATTTTTTTCTTTTACCTCTTTTTTTTTTAAGTCAAATGATTCAGAGTCCACCTTAATGCAGAAGTTAAAAAAAAAAATATGTCATGGTAGGAAGATGGTAAGAGTGATTTCTTTGAGAGATTAAGTAACAAACTGCATTTGCTTACTAAAAACATATGCCAGTTCTTTATTAAAGTGACAGATGCCTACTCTGAAATTTAGCTTTATGACTGACGATTAAAAGAGAGAGAAACACAGAGTTAGCTAACACTTGCAACCAAGACATGCATTTGTGTCTGAAAAGAGAATATTGCACTAAGAGAAGACCCCTGAAAGCTTTTGACATTTCCTTCACTGACCTAAAAAAGTAACTAACCATTTTCTATAGGCAGTAGCAAACCTGGCTTGGTCCACATCCCTACAAGTTGATAATACTTTATCAACAAACTGGAATTCCATTTCTGGACCAAGAGAGTCCTGCACAGGAGCACGCTTCAGGCGTTTTGTTTCTTGGGTATAACCTTGTTTGCTGCTGGGTTCATTCAAACCATCAACATCCATAGCTTGTGCCATGTGACTTGTTGCAGGACTGTGGTGGGAATTATTCAGACTTTCATCACTGCTGTCCACAGATGATACCGCTCCACTCACGAGAGGAAGTTTGTTGCTTAAGTGCTGCTGAAGGTAGAACACACACCTTCTTCAAAGGAAAAGAAAAGAAGAAAAAAAAAAAAAAGAGTCATGCACTGAAAATAACCTGCGGTTGCTGCTGAACTGTTTCATTTACCATCCCACCAGATTTCCCTCACAGACACAAAATCTGCTGTCTCTGCACACACTGTATTAGAAAGGGCTCCATGTCACTTTGGCAAATCTCTTGTTGCCTACTCAGGAACCTGCACCTAGATAGTAAAACAAACATTTTCTGCACTCAATCTTCTGTCGAAGATCTTTTGTTCATTTTTTGGTGTTTAAACATTTAAAGTGTGAGGAGGCTAATTACCAGCATCTTGTGTCTCTTGCACAAATTACAAGGTCAAGTGGAGCTTACACCTTACAAAATATTTAAGCCAAATCAAATTTCCCACACAATAGCTCTGATTATGCTCTTGAACATTTTCCAAATGCTTAATATATAGTAGCTTAAAAACCTTTTACTGAGTGGTACTTCCTAAAACCAGAACAATCTGTTTGGAAATACCATGTGAAGAATCATCCACAAACCAGAAGGAAACTCTTTTGACCAAGTCCTCTTACCTATGACACCACAATGTTTCATGCCCTGGGTAATTATCAATCAGTTCACTGCACAGTTCTATCTCTTCATCTAAACGGCGGGGGAGATCCACACTTTGCTCCTCTGCACAGGCAGCTTCTGTCCCTTCACTCTCTTCCTCCTTCTGAATGCTAGGGTTTTGTTCATTTACCACTTGATTTTGTACCAGAATGTTTTTGTCAGTCACCATTCTGCGTATCAAGGAACTGAGTAAAAACTGGCGGTAATGAAATCCACTATGGTCTGAGACGTGCATGGATACCCAGTATTTAGTGGATGAAAGTTCATCAAGGAGAACCTGAAACAAAATGCAGGGACAGTTATCAACCAGTATAATGGAGGAACTTACCACTACGGCTTCTGCATTAAGGAAATCTCTTCTTGGGGGATTTCAGCCACTGTGGTAATGGTTTAAGAATACACAGAAAAAAGACTCACTGAGCCCTTTCTACTATGTGTTGAAAAGCGTCTTGGCATCCCTGCAGAAAACAAATTAGTACTTCTTCCAAACCGTGAAAAGACAGGTTTTTCAGAAACCTGCCCACAAGATGAGTGGGAAAAGAATCCAAACCACTTCTGAAATAAGCAGTGGTTTAAGAATCTCAAAATGGTTAGCAAGAAATACTATTTAGAGGAGGCACAAACTACACTGCTATTAGCTTTAAGATTTTTACTTTCTACCCAGTGGATTGTGTGTGTCCGAAGGTAGGTGAGTTGCTTAAATGGAAAAAAATCCAAACTTAATTTGCCCCTTCATTTTCCATGAGAGAATGTCAACCATAACATTATGTTTAAAGCCCTAGAGCTGGTGAAATACAAAAGTACTTGTACATAATCAGGTTTCTTGATTTTACTACTAAAGAACCTCAAGAAAGGCTTTCACAACAATTCTGGTAAAATACTTAAATTGCCAACTGTAGCTCTGTTTTTAACACTTCTGGCTCCTGTGAATTGTCTCTTAATTCTGAGTGCTTTTAAACTTTCAAAATTCATTGCTGGGGAGAAATGCAAGTTTGGCTCCCAGACAAAGCTTTTACTATGCTTTGCTTTCTCTGTTGGAGCCAGTGGTTTGTTCTTTTTTCACAGGCCTTAACTTCTTTCCTCACACTGCTTCTCCTCCGGAGTTGAAACTATCCAAAGAGATCAAAACTACCATTTTCATTTACTTCTAAAGACTTTTGGAAGTAATCTTAATAATCTTATGTTACACTCTTGATTTTAACCTCTTCTCCTAAGCTACCTACATCACTTAACAGGACCAGCTGATGCAAAGTACCTTTCATAGGTAGAAGTCCTTCTTTCAGATACTGCAGCACAAAAGCCACAGCGTCCCACAAAGAAAACCATGGAAACACACAAGGCTAGCAATACAGCTTTTTAGGGGCATCTGTTCTAAAAGAAACTGGAGCAAATACAATGCAAACAGTGTCTTCTACCCAAGATAGTCGTCATGTTTTTCTAAATCTTGCCAAAAGATACCAGCATCAACTTTCTTTCAGAGATCAGCAAACTGAAGTGCATTATTAACAGTCCACACACAGGGTTCTTAAGGGGACTAAAACTCCATGTCCAGATCTTACTTTAAACCATAAGATCAGCTTTTCCTTTCTTCATAGAACTGAGCTTAGTATTTTAAACTTCTGAACTTCAAAATTTATAAGTCTCTTAAGAACAACATAAGGCTCAGAAAAAGCAGATCAGCCTTTATTCAGCTGTGATTGGTACTACATACATTTATGCTCAACTGAGACCTTGGAAGAATCCAATTCATTTATTGGAAATATTCATAAGCTACAAATTTACAGGGGAACATGTTAATTACACATTTTAACTCTCTGTACAAAGGGAACAAAATTTCTCCCAGCATTGCTCCTTACCTGAACCAGAATACCTATTTTGAAAAAGCAACACAGAAGATTGCCATGAAAACTTCTTCAGATCTACAAAAAACAGCCTCCTACCTAGGAACCTCAGATTACCAGTGGAAGATGCTTCTAACAACTGAAAGTAAAAGAAAAAGCCAGCTGATGTCTGAATTCTGAGAGGTTCTTTCTTACAAAGCCAGCTTTCTCCATTTCTATCTCTACCAGTACAAGCCCTTGTACAGGACCTTTGCCACTGTTCTGTGAAGAAAGAGGAAATTATATGAAAATACTTCCCTCCCCACTCTTGACAACCTCTTTTCTACCTCTGGTGGTCAGCTGACTACCATGGAACTGGCAGCCTTCCCCAGAACATGACGTGCTCAGTGACCTTCGTCTCAACCTCTGGGTGTGCACTCCCTCTTATACCCTTCCTGACCATGTGTTTGCTTGTTTTAGAGCACTTTTCCAACCATAAACGGCAGACCTGAACTTCCTCCTTGGTCTGGGACACTGGGGAAATTAAAAGAACTGGGGAAACAAACTTTTAAGGACAACTAGATAAATATAGCAATGTCCACTCACAGAAACTAGCACTTTTGTAGACCCAGTCATCTAAGAAAAAGCCAAGGCATGACTGGGGATGGCTACAAGAAAAACTACTTTGTGTCTCATGAACACCTTGTCTTGTGGGCATCACACAAGAGAGGTGTTGTGTGACAATGACAATTACTCCACCACTTGTTTGCTTGCTTGTTTTATTGTAGAGTCTGCTCAATCTCCATCCTGTAATTATGAAATTGAGTATTCCAATCTAAAGAAAACAAAAAAGTTCGTCAATCCTTGCTGAACTACACCCTATTTTTCTATCTGCATAATTTCACTGAAGCAACATGGTGTGTATGAATTTTAAGACTGCACCCCTACTACTCTGTTACCCCATTTCTCTAACTCATTATGCACCCACCTTTTAGTAGGTATCTAGAGCCCATGATCTAACCCCACTAACTGTACAGTCATATGAGAAACCTGAAATCGGGCTTTCCAAAGCAAGTATTCCAATACCAGAAATATTAGATTAGTTTCAAACAATCTATTCTTGATAAATTCTTGATTTATATTAATGAACACTATTTAAACACTATGTAAACTTGTTAATGCCATTCAAATTCTGCAGCTAGAACAAACTGAAATTTCTATATTGAAAGAAGATAATGTTTTTGACTGTCTAGTGCAAGAAAGCAGAAACATCTACATACTTTCAGTAAATTTTCCTACTGGGCCAAAACTTTCTTCTCTAGCATTTTAAATCTTTTTCCCCGAGCTTGAACTGAGATTCAATACGCAGCAGCATTAGGATTATCAAACCAAAGGGAAAAGAATAACCAAAATCCTATTACACAGCCTACCTCCTGAAATCCTCCAAAGCAGGTCGACAGCTTTATTAATGATAAACCTGTTTTGAGAAGTCATATTTAAATGATAATACAACACACAATTTATGTTTCTGGGCCTCTGCTTTCTTGTGCACTTCAAACTACAGGCAAAGTTTGTATTACAGCAGAAATACAGCTCCTCTTAATACAGGTACTCCTTAATTTCAGTCAACCTTGCAAGAACTAAATGGCCACAGAATTGGTGACTGTTTTATCTGTCAATTTTTCAGCATGTTCTTGTCTTGCATCTTGTTGAAATTTATCATACTTTTCAGATATTCAAACACAGAAATTGCTGAAGGTGTTACATGAGACACTGTGCCAGTAAAAAACCTCTAAAGAACTGAAAAACCAAGGAAAAGCCAGACAGAACTTGGCAAGAGGCACAAAGAATAAAGAGGGACTGTGTAAGCCAAAGAATAACAAGAGGGACTGTGTAAGTATACAGGTCACAAAAAAAGACCAAGGAGAGTGAATGCTCCCTAATAAATAAGAATTGGTGGCAACTGATATGGAAAAGGATGAAGTACCGCAGTTGTTGTCTCAGTCTTCACTGGTAGTCAGGCCTCCCTCCCAATTCTCTCTAGTCCCTGATCCTCTAGACTCTTGTGTGGGGAAGCAAACTCCCTCCCAGTAGTAAAGAGCAAGTTCACAACCACTAGAGGAAGCTGAACTGCCACAAGTCTATGGCACTGAAGATCCACATTACAGAGTCCTGAGACAACTGGCTCACATTGCCAAACCGCTGTCCACTGTATCTGAAGTCATGGTGATTAGGGGAAGTCCCCAGTGACTGGAAAAAGGGAAACACTGCTCCCATTTTCAAAAAGGGGAGAAAGGAAGACCCAGGGAACTGGAGACCACTAAGTCCCACCTCTGTGGCTGGCAAGATCATGGTGCAGATCCTTCCAGAAGACATGCTAAGGTACCTACGAGACAAGGAGGTGACACAAGGCAGCCAGGAATCATGCCTGACCAATCTGGCGGCCTTCTATGACAGAGTTACAGCAGTGGTCAACAAGACAACAAGAGAAGACTAACAGAGGCCATCAATCTGTGGAAGGCATTCGATATGGGTTCCTCATGGCATCCTTATCTCCAAATTTGAGACAGATGAATTTGATGGAAGGTCCATTCAGTGGGAAAGGAACTGGCTGGATGGATGCAGCCAGAGAGGAGTGGTCAACAGCTCTGTGCCCAGATGGAGACTGGTGATGAGCCCCTCAGCGCTCTGTCTTGGGACTGCTCCACTACCCCTTCCATTGAAGTATTCAAGACTGGGCTGGATGGGGTCCTGAGCAGCCTGATCTAATGAGTGGCATCCTTGCACATTGCACAGTGGTTGGAATGAGATGGAGATCCCTCGCAAGCCAAACCATTCTGTGATTCTATGAATCTGCATATTTTTATGAAAATCTGTAATGCCTGCTTTTTCCTTGTTCTCCTACTTATTTGCTTTTTTTCTCTACATCATATCTTGCAAATTCTGCCTCTTAAAGTTACCTAGACAAATTTTTCACAAGTTGCTCACTGTCTTTTACGTTCCACATTTTTTCCTAATTTTCCTGTATCCCAAACACCTTCTACTAGGCCTCTGATGAGATGCATTGGTGGTGTCCTGAAAAAAACCTAGAGCCAACACAGATACTTCTCAACATTTGTGGGGGAACAACAGCACCACTGAAATTTTGCCAGAGGTAAGAGAAACCAGATGGACAACTCTAGACAAAAGTATCACTTCCACAATCTTTATTCTAAAAGAAGTAGATCAGATGGGGAAGTGGGATGGCAGGCAAGGTAAATAGACTTTGGAATGGTCAAACAAATTTAAAATACTTCCTTCACAGGCATGGTTGTAATTTGTCACAAAAAGCACTCACAACTGACAATGAATAAACTCACCAGAACAATTCCAGTTCTGCAAAGAGTTATTTCTATTACAATGTAATTATTTTTCTTTAATTAAATCAGTAAGGAATAGCGAGTGCAAAAAGCACTCAAGGTGTAATCCTGATCCTCAGACTACTGCTACCAGTATAATGGACACAGAGCTGTTTAGAACTTGTTGTAAGGCATAAATGACTTGAATTTTCTCTAACAGTGCTAACTTCCTTCACCTTTTAATAAGCTCTTGAAGATATTAAAGTTCCTGTTTTCTGTTAATACACACTTCTAACCCTAACTTCTAACCTCCAATCTATCTGAATTGTGCAATTCTGAGTTTTCTGACAACTATCTTTTCATATTTTCATAGCTTTACTAGGCAGATAAGTCCAAATTCTGCCCTGTCTCTGCAATAATGGCTATATTGACTCAACAGTGATCAGTAAATTCCTCCCTTACAACCCTATGTGGCAAAATGCAGAAGCCGCTGTTAAAAGTGAGTGATGTGTCACTGTATTAACCTAATACAAAGAATTCACCTAACCACTGAGAAAACATGGTATTAGAAAACTGCCTAGACCATGTCACATTAACTAATTTGATTTGCTGCAGGTCTTGATGCTATAGATGCAAAACATTCAACACTGCATAAAGTGTCCCTGCTGTCCCTGAAATAGTTTAATCAGTTCCCAGTGTAAATGCTGTCAAAAAATACTGCTGGAACTGAAGAAATTAGTTACAAGCACTACTATGCTTTCTCCAAAATTCCTGCTGTCTTTACTTGGTCCTTTAATATTCTAAAACCACAGGTAAGCTGAGTAAGGGCATCGAAACATTGATATTACATTATCAAAACAACATCTGTTAGGTATTAGCTTCCTCTACTACGAATTTCAAGACTAGTGCTGGAAGAATTACTTAAGAGTTGTCCGTTCGTGACTTTGACCCAAATAGTCCCATCTACACACTTCCCAAACACACATTAGCACCAACTACTAAGAGAAAAACAGAACTTTGTATACAGGCAAGAAAAATGTTATTTCTGCTGAGCAGAACCTGCTGACACTAGCAAGAAAAATGCAAAACATAACTCACTGCAAGATTTTTCCCCCTTTCTTAAAACATTCTTAGCTACCATGATAACTTCACTTGATACTCAATTTATGTTACACAATCTGTTTTGCAAACCAGTATTTGGGTTTTTTTGAGAAGAAAATTTAAGAATTTATTCACTATTCTATTATACCTTGACAGTGAGCTTTGCCAAATGCTGTAAAACCCAGATGCGATGGGACCAGGCATTGTAGTTGCTTGGATATCTCCCAGCAGCTTCAGAGCAGACATTCATTTCCTCCTGCACTAGTCGGTGAATCCTCTCCACAGGTGCTGCTCCCAAGTTTCCTTTAGTTGCAAGACTGGGCAAGGAGTTTTCCTGAATTAGTTGTTGCAGCACCCATCGTCTGGTTAAACGATGTAAAGCGTTAATGGTGAGAGAGCAGTTTTAAGAGAAAAAGATGATTTTTCATGTGCATAAATCAAACCTTTCCAGTGTTTCTATTCTCTGAACTATACTGTAGCTAGGTAATGAGCGAGTGGTAAACAACCATCTGAAAGTCTGCCATGCTATAAACTACAACACCATCATCGCACTCCCAACACAGCTGCATCAGTCTGCTTACTCTAAGTGACCATGGCTACTTACTGCATCATAAAAATGAAACAGAAGGAAACAGCAAATTTGTGAAAGAGTGCAAGCAGCATGTGCATGAAATTTCTAACGTACTCCTTTTTCAAAGTCTTGCATAGCACTAAAAATGAAGTAGCCAAATTGAGACAGAAAGAAGTGATTTAATAAACAATTAATTCTGCTCAGTATCTTTTATGTCTGACAGTACTGCACGCTGCAATTCAAACTGGTTTCTGTATACCACCAGCAGTAACAAAGCCCAAAAAGCTTATGGTTTCAAGGGCTACAGGTATAAGCAAAACAAATGTTTCTACTGATCAATTACATGTATTTGATTTCACATGTCTGAGATAACCACAGATTCCTACATGTTCTGCTTTTTTATTTTACTTTGGACAAAATTTTAGTAGTATTTTTAGAGGCAACCTCAATGCTGCATCTGCAGCCCCAACACAAAAGGGTTCTAAAAAACCAGATTAAGGATGTGTAAATTTTCACAGTGCACCCCATGTCAATGGAATTGCTATGGTCCAGTGTGGAATGCTCTGGAAAGAGTAGCATCCTCTGGTGTGCAACACGGAGGTTATCCTGTTTTGTATTGGCCCACACTGGTTTCAAAACCAATTGATTGCTTCTTTCAAAGGTGCCAAAATTTCTTTTAACTCCAAGTTAAAAGAAATCAATAAACAAAATAAAGTAATAAATTAACTTTTTTGAAAGAGAGAATTCTATTTTGCAAGCTATGTGTAAAATTATATATCTACATATATATACATATATAAAAACCAGGCAAGTTAACCATGTATTAAAAAAAAATAAATGTTAACTCATCTGCTTTATGTCTCATTTGAAGACATTCACAATATGCTTGTTCACTCATGGGTTTTATCAACATTGTTATCTTTTTCACTCAGTTATCAAAAAAGAACAAAGTATTGGAAGACAATTTATACGGCAATTTTAAACTGACTGTGTTTCTCAGCAGAAAGTTACAAGCAGTGTATGAACACTTTCTTTCTATACACCATTTGTTCTAAATAAAGATGTATAGCTAAGCAAAACATGCTCTGACTGTTGTGTAACAGTATTTTATGAAATGTGGTAATTTTGAAGAATTAACTTTTAATTTTTAAAAATATCTTTGATCCAAACATCACCTTTTGCATTTTTTTATTTCAGTCCACAACTATGCAAGAAATGGAAAATTCAAAAATAGTCTAGGCAAAAAAACTCAATGAGCATGTCACTCTTAACAAAAGACATGTATTATTTCATTAACATCAACATCTGAGTAAAACCATAAAGACCAAGTATTTCAACTCTGTAATTATGTCAGTTTCTTAAAATGAGCATGCTTTTTAAGCCAAGGAAATCTGATCAATTACACATCCAAGAGAGAGTTACAAAATACAGACTTTACGGTCTCTGTTGCTACAGCATCAAAAAACCCATAAAATTAAATTAGAGCTACTTTCTAGACAGTGCAATCACAACCTCAGAAGATTTAAAATATATCTCTAGAACCTGTTGAATATCATGGTATTATTTGTTTTTTATGCAAAATTTCCTGCATTAATTTTACTCCAATTAATTTGGAGTCACTTTCACTTTTGCATGTTACTGTTGCTCTTACACGTCCTGGAATGACAACAAACAAACAAAGGATTATTAAGTGACAAATGCACAATAAATAGATATACTGACTGTATATGCACAAGATATATCTGAACTCCCAATATAAAGCAGGAGGTCATCTGAAAAAATGAATGACAGGTATTTGACATTTTCAGTGAGTGTATCTCTCATGCATAAGAAAAAACAATTTGGTTATGTTTTACTGAATTTTATTCATAGCCCCATTAAAGGTTTTTGCATCGTCTGTCTGAGATTTAATACCATGGGGTAATAGGCAACCCAAAATTAATCATTATGTTGATGCAGAGAAGTATTTTTGAGAATCTTATTTTCTAACATGTATCAATCATGGTCAGCATATCCAAATCCAAGCCAAACATTTGTGTAATCATCCTCAAATACACTTTTCTGATGTAGGCAAGTAAGAGAAAGAAAAACAAATTATGACACTATCAAAATACTCCTAATTTACATTTGCATGGAAATTACAGTCAGAATATTTTATTATTTCTAAAATGTATATATATATATAAAGAACCTAACATTCTGACTTATTTGATAAAAACATATTGATCCTCATAATGATATGGATGGCACCAAGTTCAGAAGTATTAACACGCAAAAAAAATCCTATTTTTCTGGTGTTAGCTACCATGTAGAAAAAGGTAAACTATTACGAAGTCCAAGATTTTTTCCCATTATAGGTACACACTTTTGCTTCAAAGCCATCAAGCAGCACAAGTCATTAGCACGAAGATGGCAAAAAGAAGTTGGACATCAAAATTAAAAATTGATGCTGCAGAAATTAATTGTTGTTGCTTTATCAATGAAACACCTTGTATCATTCCAGACATTGCTTACTAGGTTTACCTTGAGACTTTTAAGTTAATGCATGCACTGACAAACAAGAGTTTACCAACAACTTCCACTTCCAAAAATTCTCATGTAGTCAGTAAGTTTTACGTTCTTGATAGAGTATGAAGGCCCTAATGCAGTATCAACTTTACAGCTGCCCTAATGCTGGACATGTTAAACACAAACATTGCAAACTGCTTCCCAATGTAATATATTTTTTAAATCTCTTCAGGGCTGTCTATAAAAGGTAGTCCTAGCTTTTTATTTCTATAATGAAAAAAGATTACATGCATACAAAGTTTTTGGGTTTTTTTGTTTTAAAGTTGAGCAATGGATCTATGCTTCACTTAGGTCTGCTACAGGCATTTTATGGTCAGTCATGACTGAGATGGTTAGCTTTGTGAATTTGAGTAACTCTGTAGTTAAGTTTTCCAAACGTGATCTGTTATTTTCATATCCAGTAGATGTGACTGAATGATTTAGTTTAAGTTAGAAATTATAAAAATAAATTCACCAAACCAGAAAGACCAGTATGGAAATGGAAAAGAACCCAGCTTTATTTACAAAGGTTGGCTTTAACCTTAACTTTCTGAAATGTAGACAAACAATACAGTAGTAAATTTGAGGGAAAGGAGAAACCTACAGTGCTCAAATAGTTACAATTGATGGAATCAGAATTTTCAGGTTGAGGATTTTAGGTGCTTGCAAGACACGATAAGGAAACTCTAAGGAAATGTATCTTCCCTCTGAAGTTTACATAAAAAGCATGCAGCAGAAAAGGTACATATGATTTCAGTCCTAAGTGCAGAATATAGACAGGTAGCTCCAATGCCAAAGCACAGTATTCTGCAGTGACTGGTTCAAAGAACCTGATATATTTCCAGTTGTCCCCCTGCATCTATGACTCTCCTTAACCCAAGAACAGGAAATAAAAAAACCCCAGGAAAATTGTTTCAGGAGTCAATAGAAGGCAAAGGAAACCAACCTATGAATCCATGTTTCTGGACTCTTTGGAAACTTGGTTAACGCCAGTTTTCCAAGATGCAAATCTTTAAGTGGATTTAAAGTGCCAGACAGTATTAATTCTTTCCTACAAAAGATAAAATAAATCTGTGTGAATAAAAGTAGTAACCTGAAAACAGAACACAAATCCCAATAACAAATTGCACGGCATTTCCTTTGTATCATAACAGAACTTCACTGTCAAGCTACAAGAGTTTAAAAACCCTTTAGTGCATTAATCCATTCCACTATACATACATATGTACTATACATATGTGCACAAAGAACTTTATCTTAATCTGAACACATACAACCCATTAATTGTCAACCTACCCAAAAATTACTAAGCCAACTACCTGTAGGGTTACACATATGAACAAACATCCCTTCTTCAAATTAAGCCCTTAGATCCCTGGGTACATCTGGAAATACTCTTACACATAGCACTCCTCCACACGTACTTTTAGTTTTTAAATACTATTCAAGATACAGTGTCAAGGTTCTCTAAATTTATTTTAAAAAGGAAAATATTCTCTGTGTGTAGAATGTTTTACAAACTCAACAAAAAGGCTGCAATTGCTCAGTTTACTTAAATGGAAAACATCTTTGGTTGAAAAAATTGAAAATTTGCCCTGACAAAACTTAACGTTCAACTAGAGTACCTCCCACAGACAGAGCAAAATGAAAATCTGTACTTGGCCTTTTCACCTTCTTTGCACAGAACTCCTTACCCCTCACCCTCTTTTTTATAGCGTTATAACTCTTACTGCCTGTCCTCAGCACATTTGTAGACATCCCCCATCACTGGTTACTCCAAGGGTGTTAGTCTTCATACCATACTCTCTAATCTAGTAGGTAGCAGCTTTGAAGTAAAGACTCAGGAAGTTCCAAAGTTACAAGCTGCAGAAAGAAAACACACATTTCCCAGAACCTGCAGAAGTCACAACTGAAAACTGAGAGTGCAAGAAGCAGAAGCAATTTTGGCATGGGTTTGGGTTTTGGTTTTTCTGATAATTTCTGATTCATCATAATGATAGGCATGACACTAGTAAGAGAGGAGCAGATGATCGACTCTCTGACCAAAAGACCCCAGAGGGAGGGGAGGAAATAAATTCTGGAAAGATCTGCTATCAAATAAGAAGGCAAAAACTCCTCTGCAGTCTGACGCAGAAAATATAATGTTGCCCTAAAGTTATGGGCGAGTCTCATAAACAAATTGACATATTTCCTTTCTGTGAGTACACATTTTCTGTCTGAGTTGGAAATTTTTAGTAGGAAACTGACTCCATCTGTTACTCTGGCTTTGTGTTGCTGTAATTGAAACTTATAACCACAGTCAGAAGCTAATGGCTGCAACACTAACAGTGAGCAAATATTATTCAAAATTAAAGCAGAGTGGGGAATGTATAAATCCTTATGGAAGTTTTGCTTCTGATAGCTACTGGGACACCTGTTTTTAGCTCAACCAAGTTCCAGCATGCTTCAGATTGAATGCTTTTAGATGGTTTTTAACAGGCAGTTCAGATATACTGATCAAAAGTGGCAGACTGACCAGACCATTCTGTTCTAATGCACTCAAATTTTGAAAGCAGACAAAATAAACATTCAGGGTCAGCACTGGAGCAGGTAGAACAACTGCCTCATTACTGCAATGCAAAAGGTGACACTTTGGTAAAAATTACTTACCATACACACACAACGAAAATACAGCTTAGATCAGTCTGATACAACAAAAGCATGTACACATTTAACAAAGATTTAGATTACCAGGTCACCTACCTCCCAAAACCTAAACTTTCAGTGAAGGAAGTGTTTCTATATTAAAAGATTCACTCTAAGTAAACAGCCTCACACTTATACACTCTTAAACTTCCTCTTTTGCAAAGTTGAGGAACAGTACAGACAAGATCCACCTTCACTCCTGTAGCAGAAAAGCTGTTTTTACCTGCTATGATTTTCAAATGAGAAATTCTCCCATTCACAAAGCACTGCAAGCACTAGTATGACTGAAGTACCATACACTCCCACATAAACCACTTCTAAGCTCTTGCAGCTAACATCCAACTTGGGATATATAATTTCTAGCTTACCAATTACTTGCCATGTGGATCACAGATAATGTTTCAGTCTTAAGGATTATAGCTCCAATAAAAGATAATCTGGAATCATTTTTAATTCCCTTATGCTGACATCTTTGAAGACATTTGAAAGCAAAATGTGACTTTTCAGAGCATCTTGTTACCTAATGTCTTTTCATCAATTGTACATGCCAGGAAATAGAACAGGAAGAACAAAGGCATTTATGAAAATTCCTTTACAATCACTTCCATAACAATTTTGGTCATTTTAACTTGCAAGACTTTTCAACTTCTAAAAACACAAGCTAACTGAATTTAGGATTAACAACTGGAGATATCTCTTATGCCACTCAGTATAACAGGGGTTTCTCTCGCAGTTCCTAGGAAGTGATACATCTTTAGCAAGACTTCCTCTGCCATACAATTACCTCTTGCTCAGGGTCTCAGGGTTTAGGTTATAGTCCCTGCTCTTCTGTAACTTTTGAGTCACTTCTAATTTAAATAAATAAAGAACAAACATAAGTAGTAGGTACATTGCAGCGGTTCAGAATAGCTACAAAGCCAAGGCAGACCATCTAGTCCTAGTCGACCTAGATACATGTCTAAAGTTCTGTGTTCTCCTGTGCTTCATTAATCAGATACGACTTTCTGTGATTGTCACCTGAGCTGAAATGCCCACTTGTCTTCCACAACACCATTCAAGTCTTCTGACTTGGCTCTGCCAAGTCCTGTGCCCTTTCCTAGGAAGGGATTTCCTTTTCTCTCCCTGTATCTTCAAGTTCAGTGCTACTGAGTCAACCACTGTTTCTGAAACTTTCATGTAGAATTCAACAAATGAAAAAGGGATTATCCCAGCCGACAATGAAAAAGTCAATAAATTACAAAAAACACACTGTGTGCAGGGCTGCTATTCAGTAAACAACTAGAACACTTTTTATTTTGAGCAACAAAAAACCAATCGTCCCACAACAGATCCATCATGTTCTACAAGAAGAGTGCAAATCTCATACAATTAGTTCTCAGCTCGGACTACCTCAGGATAAGGATTTATCACCAGCATCTGTACAGAACACAGTCAGTCTTCTACTCTGTGACATTACGCCACACGTTTGACTAGCTTGAGCTGTAATTTCAAAGAGAAGCTGAAATACATATCGACATATACATAATTAAAGTGCCTCCCCTTCAAAAGAGCAAACTCCCAGCAGAAGCCTAGAACAATGAAGGTCAGATTTAGGAAAGCAGTTCCTTTGCTAGAATGGGCTCGCTGGTAACCTCCACAGATACTGACTGGCTTGTGTAACAAGATCTCTCTGGATGCTAAATGGAGCTTCAAAGACAGACTGACTGGTAGATCACTAGTCAACAATTTGGGGTGTAAGGCCCATTTCTGTAATAATTGGTATGTTTTGGTAAATCATAAACATCATAAAAGAGAAATCCTCATCCATATTCCTTAGCATTTTTAATTCCACTTACAACTTTGAACTACTCTTCTCATGCACATAAAAGCTAACTCTTTCAGCTGTCAGGCACAAAAAAGCCTGACTGATAAGGATGAATGCATGTGCAGTAAAAAAAATTCCACAAAACACAAACGAAAAATCAATTATAAGTACCATAAAATGAGATTACTGTAGCAGCTCTAGTACTTATACAAGATCCTAATTCCATTTTAACACTTCAAAGCTACTCAAGTTATACATTTTATATGACATTAAACCCTTTGCTATCACATTCATCCCCCTTTTTCAGACCTGAGAGATAGAAAGATACAGAACACATCAGAATCCTTCAGAACTATATCAGCAGTGAAAGAATAAAAAAGAAAGCTGATTTTGCTCTAGGGCTGACAACTAGATGCACCCATCATCTTTCTAGGTCATTTTGTTAATGACCTAGAACACCGGCAAAAGTGCACCGTAGCTACAGAAGTCCTGTTTTCCATTAATGTACTCCTAAAGACTATCATAGTTTTGTCAGCCTTCCAGCCCTCCTGAAACTGTAGCTTTTATAGACTGTCTCCAGTCTTACCTTGGTAGCAGAAAGAGAATATTCCTGCAACTCTGAACTTTACAAAAGTAAACAGAGGTGTTTCTGCACCTCCTGAAGAGCAAGGAGGTAAATTCCTGCTCCTCCTCCATTACGACTCCTGGACAAGTTCTGAAGGTTGACCAATGATGAAACTATGCTAAACCCAAAAGGTACAAGTAGAGGGGAGGGGGGAAATGTGTTTGAAATAAAGGGTAGACACCTTCTCCTCCTCTCTTGCAGTGTATCTACTAAGCTTTGATAGCCTGCACTGGTAGTGGCAGCAAACTGAGCTGGAATCTCAAAAAAACTCAAAGAGAGGTAAAAATGAGAACAGTGAATACACACAGCAGACATCAGCTGAGCACTACTCTCATTAACTGCAGGAGGAAAGAGGAATGGTAGTTCAGTGGGTCTTATACACCCTGAAAATGTGGTGCAAACATGCCTTCATATGAAGCACTGTAATCATCAGCCCTCGATAAAAACAAACAAACAAACAAAAAAAAACAACCAAAACCCCAAACAAACAAAAACTCCCAAACAAACAAACCAACGAAACAAAAAGCTAGTCTCAAACTATCTGCAACATATAGGAAAGTAGAGATTTTTAACATTCATTCAGCACTTCTTAGTTGACAAGTTCTTGCTGCATCACTAACAACCACTTGAAACAAAGCTTTCAGCTGACTCATTCAAGGCCAAGGTATTTTGATGGCATTTTCTGAGTGCAACGTACCTCACATTCCAAGCAGTGGTGAAGTCTGGGTTCAGCAGCAGCAGGGTACACGTGATATCTATCAGCTCTAAAATGATGGAATAAGAGATATTAAGATTAGTAATGATTTGCACACAGCACTGGTCTCTCTGCAGCTCCTTACTCCCTATCATTCCTCAAAGTCTCTTTGCTACAGGCTGCTGTACCTCTGTAAAATATTGCTCTTATTCCAGAAATGAGAGAGCATTAATTAATTGTTAATTTAAGAGGGAGCAAGATCTGCCATATCCTCCCTTTTAATTATTTAAATAATGAACTGAGTATGCCCTGAGCAAGGAAAAATCATAATATAAAATCCTTGAGAATTCAGTGATTTTAACCACACACACTATATAAGAGTAGCAGAGAATTCTTCAAAGAAAATCCAAAGAGTTTTAAATACTACAGAGAAGTAAAAATATATCCTACTATTTTAGAACAAGTCTGAGCTGCAGATGGCTGCCATATATCATACTGTTTCAAAAAATACACACACTATAAAAAAACCTGTAGCTAAAAAATGAAACACCACAGCTACAAATGGGGATTAGAAAAGAACTACATATCAAACCATATAGAAAACAATTCCAATACATTGTGAAGCGCCTCAGACTGAAGTTTAAGACTAATTCAATAAAAAACCCAAAGCAAAAACCAAAACATTTGCTTGCATCCCTGCATTTAAGCACTGTATACTTTAGATTTATGTATTACATTTATTTTTTAGTATGTCATAAAAACTGAATGTGACTATACAACCTTTTACTGTAAATTAAATTTGGCTACATTCTCTCCTAATCACCCTGAATTTAACATACTAACTAGATCGTACATCAGGTGATTTCCAGCAAATAAGAGGTACTTCATTCCTTGAAGGAAAAGAAAAGAATGGTATCTCATGGAAAGAGATCTCTGGTTAGTGCAGTCAATATGACTGCAAAATGAACTGTTAAGAAATTCCACAGTAATGACACATAAATTAATTCAAAGTGCAAAGGGACTTGGCTTCATGTATCTTTGAAACAAGAGTCAATACTTAAGTGAAAACTCTGTGTCTGATTGATCATTTATGTCCAACAAAGAAATTTTGTGTTTTCCATTATGGTCTTCCTTATGAGGAACATGCTAAGCCACCATATAATGCAAGAGATGATGGGGGGCATGGTGGGGAATTCTTTGGTGTACTGCTGACTTTGCACTAAGCTGTAATGTTTTGAAAAGTGTCTCACGGAATGAACTTAACTTTCTGTTTTCACAAGATAAACATCTCTTTGCTGCCAAGGAATAAATATTTTTCATATGCACAAAGCTTCTTCCTAATTTGCTGCCTGAATGTACAAATATTATTTCTTTGTTTACCCAATTCCTGAACCACCAAAGTATTTGAATATACATTTTAATTTTATGCAGCTGACTATCCCAATTCAAATAACCAGGATTACTCACATACACAAAATCATACATACATAAAATTAAACATCTGCTAAGTGTTTTGTGGCTACTGTTTCAATTTTACATTCAGAAATCAGTTTTTTTATAAGGAAGTATAGTTAAAATTGTGAGCTGTGATTGTCTTATGTACATTTTCTATTTTACCTTCAACAATGGTTTTAGCAACTATTAGGTACTACCACTGCACATGTTATATGCACATCAAACAAAAGTTTATTATAGCCTATTTCAGTTTTTTCAATACTTCTCAGAAAGGTCTTTCAAAGTCTACTTAGAACAACACTGCTTGTTTAGTCATGATTTCTAGTTAATATGACCATTCTGGTAATCTCGAAGGTCTGTTAACAGCACCCGATCAAGTCCAACTTAAACAGAACTTGTTTGCATTCTGCCCATTTTCCCATCACAGAGGTTCACTTCATCCTGAATATTATCAAAGGAAAGATGCAGATAAAAGGAAAATCTCCAAGTGGAACCCAGTTCTTTCATGTCAATATTCTTTAATGTAATTAACAGATGAAGATTTATGAAGTGTTGATTCTGAGCCAGAGATGCAAAATGACACAATTTAGTAACCTCTAAGCCACTTCTCAATAGAAAAATGGCACGATTTCTTAACCTCTGAGCCAGTATTTATTAGGAAGTCTTATGACAGATCTGGCGTACAATGATAGTACTTCCCAACTATCCACCCTGTGTCGTAACAAAACCCAACATCTTTTATTTACAATTGAAAATTACTTTCTACTAGATACGTTTCAGGCAAACTGTTGCATTATAGGTGCTCACATTGAACACATCCTTTTACATATTATAATCTCCCTAACTGCAAAAGGACAAATAAAAATATGATTTTAGCACACCTTTAAATATGGCTGTATCCAGTTTTTTAGATATTCTGTGAGTAGTTTGTAACAATTTCAGAAACCCATCTTGACATAACATAAATAATACACATGCATAAATTTAAAAAATAGTGGAGAAAGGATGAAAACATATTGTAAAATTTATATTTCTAAACTCAAATAATAGCAGGGGGAGCAGTCGTGATTCTGGATTCCAAGTATCCAAAAGAAACTAACTAAATATCTGTGTCACTAACCTATCAATGAATGACTATAAAGCACCTCTTTCTCCCAGGATCCTGTCAGAAAAAATACCAGACACCACATCTGAAAGCAGATACTTGAATCAGCACCCTGTTGTTCTCCTCTGCTCTATTTTAAATGGCCTACAGTGACTCAAAACAGAAGAGGTGAGTAGAGACTACACCTGCAATCACTGATTATAACAAGCTTGAACAGAACACACAATTGAGTTCTGAAGAAGTAATAAACAAGTCTATTTCTTTACTAGATGCAAAATAAAACAACCTGATTCCAGCCATGCACTTTCATCTAGAAGAGCAATCTGGAGTGAAATCCTTGAGAATACTTAAGAGAAAACCATAACATCTCTTGATAGAATATACATACTTATGACACTTCAGAGACGAGTCTCTAAGCCCACCTGGGAAAGACTTCTGCCTTAATTCTCTCCACCACTGCAGTTCAGTTTCTGCTCAAACCTTCTGAGGTGAATGTGAAACTCAGTTATGGTAAAACATACTAAACTCCCCTACAAATTGGGTTTTAACATGAAGGATCTGACTGTGTTCTACAGTGGTTACAGAAAACCTCAGCAGACATGAAAATGCTTTAGGACCTCTTCTCATACATTTGAAAGTGGCTTTTGTAAATGAAGAGACAAAACAGAATCGAGTTTCATTTTCAAAACAAATTGCAGGCACTAGTTTAAAATACATGCTACTGCAATATTCACTGACAGAGTTTTCTGAGCTGCATTTTGAGAGGAAGGGTTGTGCAAGGTTTTACCTATGAGAGACACGGAAGCCTGCAGACACCATCCCTGTGGCACAGGTGTGACAGCATCACAGCAAAGCACCTGCACTGGTGTGACTGGAGCAGGGTGCTAGCACACAGGTAATCGCTACCAGCTGTCTTCAGACACCCAAAAACATGACACAGATCTCAATGTTTGTAGTTTGGCTTGAACCAAGAAGTTTTTCTCTGTGTGGAAATGTCAATGTTTAGACATTACAATAACACTTGAGACCAAAATGAAGTCTCCCTGCTAAAGATCAGTAGCAAAATAACAATATACATCACAAACTCCTACATATGACCTCCAAAAGCACCGCAATGAGAACCACTGGTGTTGCAAAGATTGCCTGTGCTAGTAGGTTCAACTTTTAAAATGTTAAAGTTTGTATTTAGTTATGTGTCAGTCAACATTAATTACATTCCCTGTATTAAAGCTCAGTTTATTGAATTTTGCAATCATCTGCATTACAAATTTCAAATTTGGAATGTCACAATCACCAGCCTCTAAGAGAACTGAATAAATCAGCAGCTGGTTGGTGGCAGTGATCAAAACCATCCTGGTCTTAATAGATCCAACCATAAACCACAAAGACCAAGAGGAAATGGAAGTTACTTATGTTAGCAATACACATCCCCTAGGAAGAGTCTTTTAAAGATGTCTGTAATGAGAAAAAACATTCAAGAAAATAAATTATGTAAAAATAAAAAAATAAAGGGCAATGTAAAATTTATAAAGTCCACATAATGACATGACATCAACCCTCTAGGAGGAGTATGGGAAACACAATGACACAAACGCACACAGTCTGTCAGACAAAAATAAAATACAATTAATGAGTCAGTCATACCCAGGAACACATGAAAACACTTCGACTTCTTTAAGCTACTTTTTTGAAGGGTAATTAATTCTAAGGATCAAGCCAGTGCACTGTTACTCTAACATGACTCAAGGTGTACAGCTAGCACTGGAAGACTCTCTGTTGCCAGGAGAATGGGTTCCTCCTCGTCATGATCTGCCTTGTCTGCCATTTCATGCTACTCTTTCCGACCTGCTTGCATTATACATCTATACTTTTGTAATAAGAAATCAAAGCACGTTTAGCAAATCTAGACCCCACCATCAGGCAGACAAAAGCAGGCAATACTCTCTCCCTTAAGAATGCTACCACTCCAAGATCCACTAAAGACCTCAATCTTCTTTCTCCATATCATCTCAGAAGGCAAAAGAAGCTCAAGTGCACATTTACAGACCTGACCAACACCACCTGACCGTGCCACACACTGCACTTTAATGAACATCAGTGCACAGATGGCTTCACCCACAAAGTGAAACAGAATACAGCAATAAAACACTGAAGAAAAGTAGATATCAAAGGAGAAATGCTACTGGCCACACATCTCCTGATCTACACAGACCTACTCCAAAAACTTACCTAGCAGTAACACCGAGAAGTACACCGTGTTAGTTATGACTAGGTGCTACAGTATGCACCAGATGTGTGCTATCATCCTGCTACTTAAAAATAATTCTTTAACTCTCTATTTCATAAATCAGCCAGGGAGATTGGCTTTGCTATAGCTGCAATCAACACAACAGAAAAAATGGTGTCTGTTTGGTATGCTTCAGGAGGGGAAGACAATCCCACACATGTTGAAGCAAAATGGGCACAGTCAGTGCTTTATGGACAGGTTAGTTAAAAGTAAACAGAAAAAAATTAAAATATGGTAACAGTCCACAACCGAAACACAGTTGAATGTGAGATACTACAGATCTGAACTCTGTGAGTGGTCACAGAGTGCTCTTCAACAGAACAGAAATCCCTCCTTCTGAGGGATATGAAAAATACCATAGCAGGTAAAAGATACTAGAAAGAAGTCTCTAAAAGAAAAAAAAAATCACCAGAAATAAGACACTGAGAAGCCCAGTATAAGAACATTCTTTATTCCAACTCCTACTTAGAAGGTACTGCAGCAATAAACAAAAAACTTGTGTCATAAACTAGTTATTCTTTTCCATTCTTACTCTAATCAGGACACTGCATAAGCCATCAAGTACCTCCTATGTCACACCTGTTCATAATTCTTTATTTTTAATTTTTTTAAAGAACATATACAAAAGAATTTTTCATGCAAGTTAAACTAAAAACCAAAACAAAACAAAGATATGAGAAAGGAAATAAAACTTCACAATTACCAAGCTGTAGAGACTAATGATTTCTGGTACCTCTGCATTTGAAACACACTGCACTCATTTCTTACAGTACATATATATGTCACTTCATTTTCCTTTTGACTCAGGAAAACAGGAGAAAATTCCTTTTGTATCAACTAACATCACTTCCTCAAATATCTCACTGAAGCTGTCTGTCTCTGACCTTTCTAGTTTGGGCAAGAGAGAAAGAAATTTTATTTTCAAATTACTTGTCTATGTTAAGATGCACAGTCCAAAGCTTGCTCTCCTCAGTAACCACCATTTTTTCCACAACAGGCTGAACTGGCATTAGGAAGGGTAAATGACCCAGGCAAGGGCATTGAGTGCACCCTCAGTCAGTCTGGGGATTACACCACTGTGGGTGGGAGTGACCTACGGAGGGTAGAAAGGCTCTGCAGAGGGATCTGGACAAGCTGGATCAATGAGCCAAGGCCACTTGTATGAGGTTCTGACTGGTCCTGCCCCTGGGTCACAACAATGCCATGCAACACCACAGGCTCGCGGGAAAGATACTTGGTGGAAAAGGACCCAGGGTTGCTGGCCAGTACCAGCTGAACATGAGCCAGCAATGTCCTCAGGTAGCCAAGAAGGCCAAGGGCATCCTGGCTTGGATCATAACAGTGTGGCCAGCAGGATCACATCAGTGACCATGTACTCACTGAGACATCAAGGTGCTGGAGTGAGTCCAGAGAAGGGCAAATGGAGCACAAGTCCTCTAAAGAGGAGCTGAGGGAGCTGGAGGTGTTTAGCCTGGAGAAAAAGGGGCTTGGGAGAACATTACTGTTCTCTAAAACTATGTAAAAGGAGATTGTAGCCACATAGTATCAGCCTCTCTTCACAGGTAACAAACAACAGGATGAGAGAAAATGGTCTCAGACTGCACCACGAGAGGTCTAGGTTGGATACGAGGAAAAGTTTCCTCACTGAAGGCGTTGTCAAAATTGAAACAGGCTGTCCAGGAAGTGGTAGAGTCACCATCCCTAGAGGTATTTTTGGAAGACATGTAAACACAGCACTTAGGAACATGGTTTAATACTGGACTTGGCGGTGTCAGGTTTATGGGTGGATTCAGATATTAAAGCTCTTTTCCAAACTAAATTTTCCGATAAATAAAAAATGTGCACTGAAGATCACATATATACTCTTCTCCAACTCAGAACTTACCATCCTTGCTCAGCCACTGTTTTCTCTGTCTGTAGAGGAGAAGTTTACTGTGGACATATGGCAAAAGAAACTTCACACACCAGCTCTCCACACCAAGCTTGTTTTCTACCAGGACAATAGGGCTCCGGTTATATCTGGCTTCAGGGCAGGGTATTAATCCAATTTCATCTCTTAAAAAACAGAGAGAAATATAATTAAGCTTACTTCCAGTAGGTGACAATTATTTTTCTCAATACAGAAATGCAATGGTTGGCAAGGCTTCCCAACCAAACATTCTATCATCTTTTTTCCTCGTCCTTGCTGAAATCTGTAATCTGAATAGTTTTATTTGATTTTCGCAAAGATCCTAAATGTTGAAGGCCCCATTTTTTCTGTTTTAGACTATCATGTAAGCAGTTTAACTCAGCTGAATGAAGACAAGCACCCCTGGTTTTGTAATAAATATGTGACAGAGATGAAACTGCTGCTTCAGCAAGAGAAAAAGAACATGCTAACTAGTACAGGCACCTGACAGACCAAACGCTACCCAGGTGTGCCCTGCAGCAGTGCAACCAGGTGCTCTGACACTAAGGATCACACAGAAGAATATGCTCACTTCCACATGTCCCATTTTTCATTGTCCTGTGCAAGGCAGTATCATCAACAGGAGGAAGATTTGATACACAGAGGCCAGACTGATTAGATGACAACTCTGTACGAGAAAAGTAACCTTTAAAACAACAGTGACAAACACGAGCATTTGTACCAGCAAACAAAGCAGAAGCGACTCAACTGTTCAGTTTCAATGAGCCATACCATATTTTGCTTTTTGTCAGGTTTTTCTACCATGCTGAATAGCAGCTTTGGCAGCTTCTTAGAAATAAACACAGCCCATCAAGGATTCGCACTTGTTTAGACATAAAGCAACATTATTTTATTTTGATTATGCATCATTTCTCCACCAACTCACTTTCAATAGAAAAAATTGTTGCTAAAGAGGGAAATCCTCAGATCTCACGCAGGATAAAAACGATTTCTTGTGATCTCAGAAAACAAATTCTCCATCTTAAGTCTTCTTAATACAAGATTTACAGATACACAGCGAGTGTCAGCTCCTAAACCTCAACTCAATTATCTTAAATAAAATTTATTACCGGGTACTCTGATGGTGGTGATTTAGTTCTGTGTCCTCATTGGACTATTACTGAGGGAATCAAAAGTGAAACAGCATGCTTGTTTAAGAATGTATTTGCTTATTCAGAAAACAGATTTGATCTTCCATACATCACAACATATATCACAAGCCGCAAAAAAACACAGGAAAGGTGAACTCAAGGTAAAACACTTGCAAATCACGTGGCTCTGTCTCCAAACACACTCAGGTCCCTTTTGCTTCCCCAGTCAGCTGAGCAGAGTGGGAAGAAAAAAAGCATTCTTCTACCCCACTAAAAGCAAGAAATGGGTATCAAACCAAGATCCTTATCTGTACTGCTCTATTTAACACAAGCTAAGCTCTTCAAGAAGCAAGATTAAACCTAAAATGACATTCCCGTCTGCTTCTTTGAACACAGTATCTTAATAGCCTGAAGTTGGTACATATCCCTGGATCTTTCTTTTATGAATGCTAAACCCAGTCCTTGGCAAAACATTGCCTGGGTTTGCATACAGGGACACGAAAGTCTCCAAAAGCAACGAAGATGCAGTCAGGCCCTGCTTGGCTAATTAACTCTGTGAATTACCATAAGAACTTACCAGCTGTAACTCACAAACAATATGCCAAAGGTAAACAGCAGGGACAAAAAAAAAAACCACCCCAAAACAAACATCCACACCTTGACTTATTACCAAATGCAAGAAGTCTGACTTGGGTGAGCTAAGTTTCACAATACTGCCTTGAACATGCCACAGTGACAGACAGGTACAGTTTGCACAAAGCTGACAAATGGGTAGGTGTACAAGCAGCCTTTGACAAGGGTCAATAAATGCTGGAAAAGAGGTGAGTATGGGACAAAAGTATGTTAAGTGAACAGGAACATCATGCATGTAGCAGATTCCTTATTTTCAGTGAAGCTAGGCAGTTCCCATGTGAAATAATTCAAACCTGGATCTGTAACACGTTGAATTGAGGATACCACCTGTCAGGAACTGCAGCTGGCCAGCAGCAGAAGACAAGATGCAGATACACAAAAAGACCTGGCCAGCACAGCTACAGCCTGGTACTCCTGAGGCAGAGGCAGCACGGCAAAGGGCCCACAGCCTACACTGGCCTGAAGAGTCCCATTTCAAGTAGTTTCAACCACTTCAGAAATCTAGCAGACAAGACTGTCACTTTTTCTGCTTCAAGGGATAAAGTAGCAGCAGCTTGTGCTTCTTCACTTGAAGCATGTCTCAGTGCATCAGTCTCAGCACACACACCCTTGCAACCTACTTTCATCTTTTCATCTATGAAAGGAAATTGCAATAGCAGCAAATTCTTCAAAAACATCATCTCCAAGTTTGCTACCAATAAAGCATCCTGGCAGAAGAGTGGGAACTATGAAAAAAATCAGAACATTCATTCATAAATACTGGCCGTTTACAGCACATTATGCTTCACAACCTAAAAATGAAGCTTCAAGGCAAAACGCAGCCTTTTTTTAAACAGCATCCATATGCTGCATTTTAAAACCTGGCCGCCCACCCAAATTGCTTACTACATTTAGAGAAACATGAGGGTATTTGCTGTAATCTTCTCTTGTCAAGCAAAGGGATAAATTAGGTGACATAAAATTTTCCTATGCAATTGTTTAGCTTATCACTTTCTGGAACAGATTAATAGGCCACTACCTCAGAGACTGCAGAGTTTCCAGCTGACACAAATACACCTCACTTAAATTAGGAAGTTGTTATTACTTATATGCTACCTTATTTGCTGTAACCAACATGGAACTTGCAAATAGGTTGAAAGATACTTCCCTAGTTTGTGTCTTAAAGGCTGGGGAAATACATTCTGGGAAAGAGAAGTATGGGAGCTACTTAAAACAGGGTCTCAAGGCTGGTCAACAACACTAAAAAATAAAACAAACCATCTGCCCCCCAGATTGCTGGATAAGTCTGATTCTCACAAGATAACAATTACTGCGGTTTGCATTTTCATAGTCAATCTGTCTTCCTCAAAACCACACACAATGAAAAGCACTTCTACCAACAGATATGGATTCGAAGGTGGCATTCACCACACTGCTCTGTGTTGTGCAAAGGTGCAATTCAGGAGGCTTCTATCCTAAGCTTTGCTCCCACCAGCGCCAGAGCTCCGTTCCAGGCCCACTCGCGGGCAGGTTCAGCCCCATGCCGACCGCGCGATGAGTTTAACACTGCCAAACATCGAGTTCAGAGAGAGGTCATTAGAACTTTTATTGCAAAATATATCTATCGCTTCCAGACCGCGGAGCCCTCGCTGGTTTCCAGGACGCGGTGCATTTCACCGGCGGGGCGCTTGCGGCCGCCGGGCTGCGGACGAGGCCGCATGGGTCTCCAGGGCTCGGGCTCCCGGAGCGAGCCGGGAGAAGCTGGAGCGGCACGAGAGCACCGAGGACAGGGACACAGCGCCCTGCCCCACGCAGGCACAGGTGCCACCGCAGCCGCCCGGAGCCGCCCCTCCCGCTCGGAGGAGACCCGGCTGGTCCCCGCGGCAGCTCACAGCGTGACCTTGGGCCCGGGCCCGGCCCCAGCCCCGGCCGGCCCCGCCGGGACCCGCACCCCGCCCGCCGGCGCCTGAAGAGCGCGTACGCGCCGGAGCGCGGGCAGCGCGCCCTCAGCGCCGCCCGGCCACGGCCGCACTCACATGTGTGGGTTCCGCTGGAAGGCGTTGCGGATGTCCTTCACGACCCGCTGCACCAGCACCGCCACCTCCTCCGGCGACTCGGCCATGTTCCCGCAGGCGGCGGCGGGAGCGCTTCCGGGGCAGCGCGGGAGCGGGGCGGTGCCGGGGCGCGGCCGGCGGGGACGCGCGGGAGCGGCGCCCGGTCCTTCAGAGGCGGATTTATCGCTCCGTGCGCTTGTTTTGTCAGGAGTCGCGCTAGGCCGCGTAGCTTTAAAAGATAAGCATTGCGTGTATAGCTTCTCGTGACTGCCAGAAGACATGGGAGCGCTTGTCTTCAAGGCGGAATGGGAAGAGGCGATTGTAATGCTGGAATGTAACTTATGTATTTGCTTGTCGCTAGAAATTGATGTTTTTACAAAGCATTAACCGTGCGTAGATTTGTCTCTAATTTGAAAGCTTGCAATGTCATCATCATCTGCTTCATCGTTGCCTTTCCCCCTCCCACAAGAGGCGTAGTATACCCTTTCATAGATTCTTCTTAAAAATAATAATAATTTAAAAAATAATAAAATGGCCTGTGGGACATTTTATGGGGCCTTCTTAATAGCCCATATATTAAGTGGAAGAATTTAGACTAAATAATGCTGGCTTCAGGGAATTGTGGTACATGTCTGTGCAGTTCAGGATTTCGTTCAGTTCATAGAAGGTATAGACACTGTTTTTATGATGTGTGGTGTCAAAATTGTTGAAGCAAACTGATACATTCTGGATATGAAATAAGCAAAAATACAAATATGAGGAAAGGTGTTGAAACACTTGGCAAATAATGGGAGATATTTTTAGCTGAAAAATACAAGCTATTTTTTTTTAAATAGCTTAGGTTTCTGAGTTCAGCATAACCCTGAATTTTTAATTTACGCCTATTTGCCTGACTGGACAGGACTAAGTTAATGTTATGTAATGGACAGCATATCTTTTCTGACTAACTGCTTTCTCACTTTGTCCGTGCAATTTGTTTATGTACGGGTTTGAATCACATTTGTGAAAAGCAGCAAATTGAAGTTCAGTCTGGGAATACATTGACTGAAATAGTTCTAGCTATGAAGTTGGTTTGGGTTGGGTTTATGTTGCTGTAATTCTGTTAAGAGGTTTTGGTGAATTAGACCGGAATGAAACAACTTTCAAATGTTGTTTCATTTAATGTTTCATTGTTTCTAATGTTGCTTCATTTCATCAAATCATGATAAAAATACTGTGCGGATTAAAAGTCTAATTTTTGTGCTTGTGATGAGTTGGGCTTTTGGTGTTTTTTGGTTTTAGTATTGGGTACAAGTGAAAATCAACTATAACAATGCAAAGTTAAAGTAAAAAGTAAAGTAAAGTCTTGAAATAAGTAAAGTCTTAAAGTACTGAAAATTGATGCAAAACTACTAATATACTTAAAAGTTGCAAAAGTAGTTATTTAGGGCTGTGTAATCAACTGACAATATACTGTCTATGACTTCATGCATGCCTTTTGAAGAGAACTGAATATTAAATTGGTATTCTTATTTAAATGTCATAATAAAATTTGTTTAAATTGTACATCTTAGCAATTATATACATTGTCAAAGCTTGTAATGTGGGCATTGGTGTTAATATTGCACATGATACTTTATAGCAGCTTTTGAGAGTGATTGTTGAATCGTCAGCCAAGAATGCTGACTTGCATTTTGGGGAAATGATAATAATTTATTTCAGAAAACATTCTTTCATTGCATTTCACATAGGGCATAAACTGTAAAAAATACACTGTAGTTAAATAGTAAGGAACTATCTCTCTGTTGCACACAGAAAATAAATTTCCCTGAGTAATCCATTCCTGTGTCATCTAGGGCAGTCTCAAAAGTATTGGAAACTATTTGCTTGAAGACTTCTCTCAGGGGCACAGAATAATATATCCTACTAACGATCTAAAGTGACATAACAAACTCCTAGTGCATTAAAATTGCCTTAATAAAAGCCTAAAAGGTTAGAATATTGCAATTTAGATCCAATTCACCAGGTCTGAATTTTAATTGTTTATTTGTTCTTGGCCACCTTCTCAAAACATGTAATAATCTTGGCTTGTTTCTGTGCCCCCCAACCATGCTAATTTGTTAGAGCTTTATGGACAAGTCCAGCTGAGTTCAACGTGATTGATTTCAGTTTTTTGGGGGTTTTTTTTGTGATTTCAGTATTCTTTAGTACTAGCTGGTACTGGTTCTCTCTCCTTTATGGGGGTGGAAACAAGTGCATGGGGAAATGGGCACATCAGTCTTAGTGATTTCCCATGGCCAAATGTCACATTGCATTCCAACACGAGTGAAAGTGCATCGTCACTATCCCTGCTTTTCTATTTATTACAAAGGTTGTTTGAAATTTTGACAGCCGTGGTACAAATGCAGGAGGCTGCAGTGCATTTTTTCATGTAATGAAAAGCATGAGTCTTCAGATTTTTCGGTGATAGCTCTTTCACATCAGAGGACGTGGTGGGTGTGTGTAGTTTTATACTTGTGCACATGTTTGCTTCTCGGGTTAGCGAGCAGAAAGGTGTTGCTGTTTGAGAGAGGTGCACCCATGGTGACTGAGCTAGCAGTACTTTGATTCAGGCCGTGCTGACAAACAGGCCTGGCTGAAATCAGCCCTGATGCGCAAACCCTGCCAGCTTGTGGGAAGTCACATCTTTTTGGGGATTAATGCCCTGAGCCAGAAGCACAGTACCTTGTGTGGTCTGGAAGTGGGTGGAATGAAGCATTGCTACACTTCCACACCTGCACACACACCGAAGGGGTGTTTGACTGCAAGGCTGTCACCTCTCACCACAAGGGTCTGCACTCACCAGAACCCACTGAGGTCCCTCGGGCAGGGATGCTTCTCAGGGTTACCTCTCAAGAGGACAGATTGCCTTGCCCAGCATTTGATGTCTACAATGAGGGATGATCTAGAAAGGTCTGAAACTGTGTAGACAAACCAATTATTTGTCATGCAGTAAGTAGTAGGTGGTGTGGCTGCTGTTCAGTCATTGTTTAATGCGATATTTGGTTAAACGCACAACATTGGCTCAGAGTTATGGAATCTTTGTGGTTAGAAAAGATGTTCAAAGTCACTGAGTCCAATCTCTGACCAAACATCACCACATCAAATAAAACATAGCACTAAGTGCAATCTCCTGGAGGAGTAATTTCTTGAATTCCTCCAGGAATGATGACTCCATCACCTTCCTGGGAAGCCCATTCCAACGTTTCAGCATTACTCCAGTGAAGAAATTCTTCCTGGTATCCAGCCTGATCTTCTCTGGGGTGCAACTTTAAGGCCATTTCTTCTCATCCAGTTGCCAACCCCCTGCCTGGCTACACTCTGCTTTCAGGCAGTTGTAGAGAGCAATAAGGTGTCCCCTTCAGCCTCCTTTTCTCCAGCCTAAACTCCCCCAGCTCCCTCAGCTGCTCCTCATGTACCACACCCTTTCCCAGCTCCACTGCCCTTCTCTGGACACACTCCAGTCCCTCAATGTCCTTCCTGAACTGAGGAGCCCAGGACTTGAGGTGTGGCCTCACCAGGGTAGGGAGAGCTGGCTCCTCTGGGCACTTGTCCTGCAGCTCTGTTGCAACAGTGTTCTTACACGGTCAGGTACTTCTGGCTTTGCTCCAAGGAAGCTCCAAGGTTCATGTGAAAAATTCATTGGATGTTGTTATTGCATCAAAATTTATTATCCTAATGTAATTGTTTTACTGCAAGAAATTATATTTTAGGATAAAGGTTGGTTACCGGTGTAGGGAGTGTGGTGTGGCTTTGTTCATTTTGTGGTCAATAAGCATCAGTGGGCTTGTGGAAACAGCAACATTGACAGACAGTGCAAACATGGTCCTCCAATGGATGAAAGATAAAAGGTATGGAAGCAAACCTCACTCTAAAATATGCTGATTTTTTTAAAAAAATAAAACATTTCTGAGAAATACTTCATATGCTTTACGCTTTGGGTACAATAGACGTCACTTGTTCGTATGTGTTTGTCCGAATTTTTCACTTCTTATTTAGAAAGAAAATGCAGTTGAGGTGCCAAGAAGAAATAATCTCACAGACACTGAATTCCTCATTGTCTTGAATGAAAAATATGTTCAATTAATAAAAATTCTACTTTTTTAAGAAATAATTTTTTAATATTATGGACATGTTCCCAACATGTTGTTAACTAATGTCAAAATTTTTCTTAGAAAAAAACTGTGTATTAATTTTCCATAAGACCTGCATGTGACTGGGAGAAGTTCCAGCACTACTTTTCTATGTATAATATCAAGTGGTTTGAGTACACCTACACAGCCTGAAGAGTGAGATGGGTTTTAAGCAGCAATTGTTGGTCATATGCACTCAAATCAGCAAATTATGCATAATGAATTATTTTAAGTCAGACACCTAATTTTTCCTCTTTTTTCCCATTAAAGAAGTAATTTATTTTAATTTTATTAAAATCTCTCTGAAAGGAAAAATAACTGGTTGTAATGCTAGATGCACATTGCCCATCCAATGTTAGTTAAGACAGTGTTGAGATTTCTTTACAATTTCCATATCAGCAAACCCATGTTGAAATTCTTGCCCTATATAAATGTAGTTTCAGTGATTTTACTTACAATCATCAAGGAGAGATTCAGAGAAGTAATAAATTCGACTATTTCATTTTCCTTCCTATTGTTGCTGAGTGTGGGATGATTGCTTTTGTAAGTGAGCATATTTTGTGTTGAGTTTAGAATATCTTCAATGTTTGTGCTTACTGCTAATTGCCACCTCAGACTACTTTTGAGAATGCTTTCTCATTTTCCATTGAAGGACAAAGTTCAGTCTCAAGAGTTGTTCCTCACATATAAGAGAACTGATTTTATCAATGAAAGGATTGCTTTTTATTTACAGTAAGAGTGGTAGAGAATGAAATTTTGTGACCACTTAATTTCCTTTTGATGTTTATTTACATATTCTAACTAATTCTTCTTCACAGCAGTCCTGCAATATAAAGGAGTAACAGAATTTTTAAGTCCTCACTCCCTCCCTCTTCCAGGGCTGAGATTGAAACTTTTAAAAATATATTGACTTGATAAAAGAGAAC